GGGAGGGGGAGGGGTGGGTCAGTTGTATCTTGTATGGTATAGTGAGGGGGTGGGGAGGGGTGGAATAGTAGTATCCTGTATGGTATAATGAGTGATCAGGAGGTGAGGGGGAGGGGTCGGTCAGTAGTATCCTGTATGGTATAGTGAGGGGGTGGGGAGGGGTAGGGTGGTAGTATAATGTGTAGTATTGCAAATAATCAAGTGAGGGGAAGGGGGAGGGGTGGGTCAGTAGTATCCAATATAGTATATAGAGTGATCATAGGGTGAGGTTTTTAATTAATGCTTTATTGTGTTGTTTATGTGTAGGTATCATTGGATATGCTCCAGTGTTTTATGACATACTGACAAACAATCCAATCAAAGATGAAGATGACGATCAATTGTACTACACTAATATTTATCTGGATGAGAAGAAAAGGGTAGGCATGTCATCATTAACATCTGACCATAATACATATTCCATGTTAGTCATAGAACTTACCTTTTTTTACAGGAGAAATTCAACATGACGTTGGACCACACGGCCAAGATCATGCAGAATCTTAATGGTGCTCAAGGTATGTGTGAGATTTGATACATGCGTCAGTCATGACTTTGCGCCATACTGTGACATTCCCATGGCTTGTTTATGATTATTTTTTCTCTGGTTGTCCCTTGCATGTAGATGAAGTAGTGCTGGAAATGGATGGTCATGATGTTTACATCAAGAATGTTGAATATGAAACAACACCTTTGTGGATTCATGGAAATGGTCCTAGCAAGGTATGTACTGTGGTTAGCTAACTAAGCTTGTATAGATAGACTGTTGGGGAGCACAGGTATATAGGGATGGCCTACAGCCAGGTGCATTGTGCATTAGGGAATCAAGGATGGCATACCTGTATGTAAGTGCACTCACCTCTCACTTCTTTGGTCTCAGATTTGATTAAGGTTTGTTAGAGTTCAATCTGTGAGTTAGCCATGTCCTGACTTAGATCAGCCCAGAGGTTGTTTCAGGGTTCAATCTGTGAGTTAGTCATGTCATGACTTAGATCAGCCCAGAGGTTGTTTCAGGGTTCAATCTGTGAGTTAGCCATGTCCTGACTTAGATCAACCCAGAAGTTGTTTCATGGTTCAATCTGTGAGTTAGCCATGTCCTGACTTTGATCAGCCCAGAGGTTGTTTCAGTGTTTAATCTGTGAGTTAGTCATGTCCTGACTTAGATCAACCCAGAGGTTGTTTCAGGGTTCAATCTGTGAGTTAGCCATGTCCTGACTTAGATTAGCCCAGACGTTGTTTCAATGTTTAATCTGTGAGTTAGCCATGCCCTGACTTAGATCAGCCCAGGCGTTGTTTCAGGGTTTGATCTGTGAGTTAGCCGTGCCCTGACTTAGATCAGCCTAGATGTTGTTTTAGGCTTTGGTCTGTGAGTTAGCCATGCCTTGACTTAGATCAGCCCAGAGGTTGTTTCAGTGTTTAATCTGTGAGTTAGCCATGCCCGACTTAGATCAGACCAGAGGTTGTTTCAGGGTTTGATCTGTGAGTTAGCCGCGCCCTGACTTTGATCAGCCCTTAGGTTGTTTCAGGGTTTCGTTGATCTGTGAGATATGATTTGTGAGATAGCTGTGCCCTGACTAAGATCAGCCCAGAGGTCATTTAGAGTTCAATAAAAGGCATTGTCTGCAATGATGGTAACTTTTCACTTTTTAAATAAAAATTGGTTCATCTTGCTTCAGCTGTATCTGAATTACCTCACTAACTATGTGCCGGGTGCATGGAACAAGGAAGATGGATGTACAGTTTGTAAGGAAGATATCGTAAACCTTGATGGAAAAAAGGTAATTAGACATGTCTCTCTGATGTCTCTCCATGACTTCTCTACTTATTAATCAAGCCATACAGTTCATTGGCTTCTAATTACAGGTTCAATAAAGTACTGTGTTTGAATTTCAGGATGAAGACCTTCCTCGAGTAATGGTTGCCATCATGATTCCGCAGGCTACTCCATTCATGCCAGAATTCTTTAAAAGGATACAAAATATTGAATATCCAAAGGGTCGCATTGATCTTTACATACACAATATGGTAAGCTTGCTTGATCAAGAGAAGGAATAACTCGATCATTACCATATTTACAGATAATAACTTTATTTATTTATATAGCTCCCTATTTCCATAAAACCCCAATAGTGCTTAACAAATTTAAAAAATAAATGAATGAAAATTTGCAATTATGTATCACTAACGTATTGAAATAAATAAATACCTATCCTTTATATATATATATAGAAATAGTTTATCCAAGTCAGATGGTGGACAACCTGGTACTAATGTGTAATACCAGCCTGTCATGATTAAGAACCATGGTATCAGAGATAAAGCAGTATTACAAGATATTAAATTGGATGATAAATCTTTTTACAGGTAGAATTCCATAACAAACATGTTAAGAATTGGCTGACTGATGATCTGAAGAAATTGTACAACTCAGTACAAGTTGTATCATATGAACAAGGGGTAGATAAAGAGTTTTCTGCAAGAAATCAAATACTGTAAGTCTACTTAGGCATCTCAAAATAAGCTCATATATTGAGTTGTGGATGTGAGCTTGATCATATGTATCAATTTGTAGATTTTCAAAGTAAATCATGATTGTTTTTGTACAGAGAGGCATGTATCAAGGCAGAAAGTGATTACTTGTTTGCAATCAATTCCGATGTGGTATTAACCAATCCAAGAGTCTTAAAGGTCCTGATGTCTCATAMCAGGTATGAAGGATTATATCGGTCAAATAACGATTAATGCTTTTGTTATACATGAGGCTTCTGAGAACTAGCACATCCATACATTATTTATAGCAAAGAGTATATTTAGTGCATTATTCAGTTGACATTTTTGTTTTCTTCACAGGCCAGTTATTGTTCCAATGTTATCCAAGTACAAGAAGCTGTGGTCAAACTTCTGGGGAGCAATAGGCGAAGATGGTTTCTATGCTCGCTCTGAGGATTACATTGATATTGTTCAGTATAAACGAATGTATGTTACTTGACATCACAGATACTTGTACATCTACTAAATACTTGGAAATTAAAGACAGAATGTACTGTTTAAAAATGTTTGTAACTAAAAGTACCCTGGCTCATAAACTATAAACATATGAGCATGCAACTTCAGACAACATCAGCATCATTTGAAGTAACAGAAAAAATTTGACCACCTTTTTTATTATCACAACTACCTCTTTTGAAAGAATATTTTTTCCCATTTAATATAAGTATTATTAGTTTGATGACATAGACATCAAATGATATTTAAGACATCATCTTCATTTTCAGGGGTATCTGGAATTCACCATTCACCTCAAGTGCTCATCTGATCAAGAAAGAAGTTTTACCCAAGATAAGACACAGCTATGGACATCAATCCCTAGACCCTGATATGGCCTTCTCTAAGTTCCTGAGAGACAAGGTGAGGGTGTGCTGTGGTCACCCTTAGTTTCAATAGTGATGTAGTATCCATTTAGCCACACTCCATTTATTGCCGAACTCAATACAATTATTATGTTCATCTGCTGATTCAGATGGCAAGCTTAATATRAGCTGAACTGTTTAAATTATATTTTCATGTAAGAAGAGTACAGTATTAACCAGCTACTACTATAGTGTTGCAACATGCTTGCCGTATAAAATGGAAACTGTGTAACTCTGAATCTCACACTGCTCTTTTGCTGTACTTAATTTTTATCAATAACGTTTGGCAAATAAGTGGAGCAGCACATGGAACAGGTCAGAGACATGTTAATGGTGCTATTTGTTTCTCTTAAAGGGTATCTTCATGTATGTCTTGAATACACATTACTTTGGTTACTTGAAGGAGGTAGAAACATATACCACTCACCATCTTCATAATGACCTGTGGCAAATCTTTGATAATGAGCCTGTAAGTACGCTGACATTTTATCATCTTATCAATTAGTTCCTGGTGAAAGTTGCATGTTCAGGGAAGCCTTCACCTTTCACAATTGTGATCTGGGTTCGTTTGAGGGCCTCCGGTTTTGCATCCACTGGCTGTCCTTGTAAAGACAATTTTTTATTTAGTTTTATTTTACCATAAAGTGTAAAAATAACTTTCTGTACCAAAGGAAGCCCAAGTACCTGTTTTTGATTGATGTTTTGATGTTTTAGGATTGGCGAGAAAAGTATATACATGAAAACTACTCACAGAATCTCAATGAAAGCATTCCAATGTTAATGGTAAGCGGTGAAATTAATAGAGGCTTTCTTACAGGACTGTCATGCTCACTTGCCTGATAATCACTCTGTTCACTCTAGATATGGGAAGCATAGCAGTAACAGCACTTACCTGTCACCAATGCAACCYGGGTGTAATCCCTAAACTCATTTTATGTTACTAGAGCTGTTTGCTGCTTCTTTCCTGTGCTTCAATGGGTTTTTCAGAGTTCTCCAGTTTTCCTCCCGCTGCAGAAATCCACTTCTAAATTCTAATTCAATCTAATCTACAAGGGCCTAGATGAAGAATACTCTGTGTAATTCTAGTAACCCTACCAAATTGTGTAGTTGTTTTTGTGTGTTTATTCCTTTTTCTATATTTATGTCCCATCCCTAACCTTCACTCCTCTGATCCATTCAATCATTGTATGCCCGACTTGGACATTGGTTTGTTTTTCAGCCCTGTCCTGATGTATTTTGGTTCCCTCTGACGTCAGAGACCTGGGCAAGACACATGATTGAGGAAATGGAGAATTATGGTGGCTGGTCCGGTGGTGGTCATAATGTAGGTCTTATAATAGTAGATTTTAGGCTTTCATGTGAGGTATATAAAATAAGAGACTTTGATTTTTTTTACACATTTATTATTATTTTTCATATATGAGGTTTTTGACTGCAGCTGTGGCAGTCTACTCTAGAATGTAGATCTTTGTTTAATAGGATTATTGTACAGTACCTCCAAGAGTAATCCAAAAAACTATATTGCAGTGTTGCAGTAGAAACTTTGTTCTATGAATACTTTAGTCATCACACTGTATCATGGTCAAGTATTTGTAGCTAAAGCCAGTTGCAGCCATGAATGGCAAGATGTTGAGAATATTAACCACAACTCATCTTAGTTATATTTAATTTCAGGATAAACGACTGGCTGGTGGATATGAAAATGTTCCAACAGTAGATATCCACATGAACCAGGTACAAGCTTTATCTGTATTAATTAATCGTTAGCTAAGTGCTATAATAAAGTCTGTTTTTTCTTATCATTCTAGATTGGGTATGAGAGAGAGTGGCTGCATTTTCTCAAGCAATATGTTGTTCCTGTCAATGGTCGTTTATTTCCAGGCTATTACTCTGAAGTAAGTAATTCYACTTAGCATCATCAGCATTGGCATCTATCCAGGGCATTCTATGTATGCATATGACATTGTGCATCTTTAACAAAAATATCTTTGTGTTTCAGGGCCGTGCAATCATGAACTTTGTTGTGAAGTACACACCATCCGGCCAGTACTACCTCAGACCTCATCATGACTCATCTACTTATACTATCAATATAGGCCTCAACAGACCTGGAATTGACTATGGCGTAAGTAATTTATCCAGTTGTTCAGTGCCCCGTAAATGGTTAATTGATAGATTGTCTTTCTGTTGTTTATCAGGGCGGTGGATCGCGATTCATTCGACAGGACTGTGCCGTACAAGACACTAGAGTTGGTTGGTCAATTATGCATCCTGGAAGACTCACTCATTACCATGAAGGTCTTCCAACTACCTGGGGAACTAGATATATTATGGTCTGTTTTGTGGACCCTTGAACACCCTGTATGGTTTACCGAGCAAACCAGCAAACCTATTTTTGACTTTGAGATAAGATATTTTACTTTCTTAAATAAAGATGGACATTGGTGCCTATAAATTAAAGTCCTTATTTTATGCCAGCAAGAAAGTGCTATGACAAGCGAGGAATATTGTCAGAGAGCTGTAGATCTATCTTTATTACTGTTAGTAAGGCTAGAATTAATAGGATCTGTCTATTACTGTAGCATTTAAAGCACACTGCAGAGAGATCTTATTGATAATTACTAATAATAAATAGTATAATAAGAGAGTTCACTTAGAAGGTGATGTCGGAAATGTAACAATAAATCCAAATATTTTTGCATTATTATTGTCTCATGTTTTTTTATCCCATTTGTTCAAGCAAAAAGCTTGCGTAAAAAATGCCAGACCCTTCTCTAAAAAAAGACAAGTTGTTTCAAACAATTATTCTTTGTTCTCTTCTCAACATGGTTTAACAGTTTTACCTGAAGCATATTCTAGGCATTCTTTTATGGGAGAAGGTACTTCTTCTATCCCCCCCAGGAATTTATCAATATCCTACCAATATAACTTTCCCTACCCTTACCTACTGACACCAAATATTGGGACATTCTTTACTGTTACTAATTTAATTATACAGCTTCTCATTAATCCCATATAGGTAACTGTCCAATTATTTTCTTAATTGGACAGGTCTTGTTGATATGGGATTAATTAGGCAGCTATATAATTAATTGGTAATGGGATTTCATGCTCCCCAATCAAGAAATAATTAGACTCGAAAAATTCCTCTGACTGCCAAATTGGACTCGGCCTACGGCCTCATCCAAATTTGTCAGTCCTCGGAATTTTCCTCGTCCAATTATTTCTTAATTGGACAGCATGGAGTCCTATTACATATACAAATGTACCAACGATATTGGTCTGCATTTAATATTAAATACTTTATTTAGCATAATTTTGATTGATATACAAAACAACAAAACAGAAATAAGATACAACTATTATTTATCCTTCACTCTGTAATAGAAGGATACATTTTGATCTTTATGCCTGCAAATATATATATCTACAGTACGACACTAGCTGAGCAAAAATCATATCATAACATACATAATTATAAAGTATCAGTGTTCTTATAGTAACGACAATATTTATACAGGTTCTAGTTACTAAAGCAGTAAGAAAGCTTGCCAGCTATTAGACTGACTTTATTAGTGTATATTTTCCCGTATTCATCAGTTCCATTTCAATGCTATAATAAGAAGGCATATGATTGGCCTAGACCAGCAGGCAACGTATTCCAATTAAGTCTCATACAATAAGTCCATTCTCGCAGTTGATAAATACTCATTATCCAGTCCACTACTGTCCATAATTTATAAAAATATTTGAAAAGGCAATAAGCAGCACACATCAATCACATTCCAGGTACCAATGGCAGTGGTTTTGCCTGGGTGACATCATTTTGACAGCGACAGCGTTGCTGTCATGCAGCTATTGTCTTCAGTATTCGCTTGTCTTCACAAGTAGGCTACTTGCTGTGACAAGCATTTACCTGAAATAAATACAAAACAATTCAATGCCTGATACAAAATGCACTACAAATGCTTATGAGAAGATATTTCTATCAAAGGCATATTTGTACTAACTACTCACAAACTTCCCATTCATTTATTCATTTTATTAATATGGAAAATTCATGTTAATTACACTGCGGCAACACACCTTCCTCATCCACCTCCTCCCATTGGTGGTCCAGGGTTATATGGTGCACCTGAAATATTAATTTTGTTGTGTATGTTAATTTATTGATCTTGATGAATATTTTTATAACAGACAGAACTAATGTACTTTACCTCCTCCTCTGCCTAATCTTCCAAACCGTCTTCCTGGTGGCTTTGGGGGTCTAGTTTATATTAAATATACAGTATTAGAAACCTGGTAATACAGTGACCACGAATAATAGTTGTAAGTCGAGGCTGGAGTTTCCGCGCGTAGCAAAACTATACTTTTTATCATGTGCGGCAACTCCAACCTTGGCTTGGAACTATTATTCATGGTCATTGAACGAAACTGTAAAATGGAGTATTTCAATACCAGTATAGTTAGGCTCAAGTCAAACTTCACATGTCGTTAGGCCAAACCAAATAACATCAAAGAAGACCACCTTGTTTTCCATGGTTTCAATCAGGTTCGGCTCATGTGAAGTTCAAAGTTTGACCCTAGCTTTACTGTATCATACTTTACAGGTACGACTGGTAAGCTAAGAGAGGTCAATAAGAGTCTATCATACCCTCCGCCAGGTCTGTATTCTGTACTTGAGTATGAATTACCATGCTTCGTCAAACCAGGCTGTAATGATGGGATAACAGAAAGAATGAAAAATGAAAACAGAGAACAAAGAACAAAAAATATAGTTCAAGCATAGTCCAATGACAGAACATGCCATTATGGCTCTAAAACTTGGGCAGTAATGAAGGCTATATGATATGCTAGACCAATAAGTTTATATAAGACTTAAAAATAAGCTTTAAAGCTTTTATAAACTTAGGGTATAAAAATTATATAAGTAAACATATCATAAGTATATATGGTTAAAGAGAACTAGAAAACTACTCACCGAAATCATGGTGTGAAAGCTTAAAACAAACAAATACAAAATTGCGTTAGATAATGGGAAATACTATCAGAAATACAGCAAAGGAAAATAATCAAATCAGTGGAATTTTAACTCACAAAAGAATGATGAAATCGACGATTCCCCAGAAAAAATCTGATATTATTGACAACCGCCATATTGATCTTCGCTCTAAAACATTACCTAATGAAGAGAACATTACATTAGGATATGGAATAGTTAGGATTTAGACCATATTACAGCAAATAAACACAAAAATAACACGAGTATTTTTACCTTGACTCAAATACGCCATAACGACGTGTCACAAGAAGACGATACCACAGGAACCCCACTATGTTTATAAGACCGGAAGTGAGAAGAAAATGATAGTAAAAGAAAGCGAAAGATGCTAAAATGCACGGAAATTCCCTTCAGACAAAGGCGAAGACAATAAAACACACTTTATGACTTTTGATTTTGGCTTGTATCCAACGGATGTCTATCCAACGCTTTTTCGACAAGGTTGAAAATTTGTGAATCGTTTTTAAACATATCTTGGGCTCCCTGTGGAAGGCACAATAAAGACAAACAAAGATGGCGGACGAGGAGAAAGAAACAGAGAAGCAAGAAAATAAGAAGAAAAAACCACAATGGAAGGAAACCTGTCTAGGAATATGGACTAAAGGAACAAGGGGAGAAGGAGATAACAACGAGTGGATATGTAATGGGATCAGTGTTGTGAAAATAGACAAGGTTTGTATGTCGTCATGCCAAATGTATATGGTTCATTGAGATATGCCAGACACGCAAGAAAACACTACGCAATGAAAGCAAGGAAAAGATTGTTGAATCTATAATACAGTGAATAATAACGAAGTCCAATGGAATACTAATTCTCGAGGAAAAAACCGAGATAAAGAAATGGTTATGTAATTTTTTATCATGCAGATTAAATTAGGATTAGCAACGGCTCGTATCAAACCATCTTTTCTTCACTTCCTTGATCTCGTCCATCTTGCTTTTAGAATATTAATAGAGAAAGCATAAAGATGAGTAAAACTAGAGGATTACAAGTGATTATACAAGAAACAGGTAAGATTGAGGCCTAGATAATATGAATACAACCTTAACAAATCATCCCTCTCCCTCCCCCTTGATGGAAGCTCGTTCTCATCCCTCCCCCTACCCCAAGAAAATAATTTGTGCTGGAAATAAGTTACCAATGTGATGGAGGGCCGAGAGCAACCTTGAACTTCCCTGTCRAGGTATTTTAATATACCTTTTGATTGACATTTTGCAGATGATCAAAAGCCACAAAAGAAAGGGGATGTCACAGAAGATAGGTAGGTACATGTAATGTATACACACACACATATATATATACTCCCAATAATATGTATCTGCCAAATACCTGGTGTAGTATTAGTTAAGGTTATGACTTTTTTATCCATTCATCCATCCATTCATCCATCCATTCATCCATCTAGGGAGAGAGATCCTCAGCATCATGTCTTTCCTCCTGAAAATCCTGGTCTGGGAGAAAGACTTATGTATGTTTTAAAGAAAAAGAAAGAAACAGTGGAAAAAAATGTGCAACAAGTTGTTACAGGAAAAGCAAGCTTTTCAGGTAAGATGGAACTTTTGTTGTATTGTCCTTTCCTAGGATGCAGGAAAAACTCAGAAACCCTGTTCTGGTATTTCAAAAGTAGATACCCAGTTACAGAGAGGAGAGAGNNNGTGATTTCACATACCCTGTCCCAGAGCGAGCGTGATTTTATAGTATAGTGAAGGAGTACCCCCCCCCCCCCCCCCCAGGTTGTTGATTTATTGATTTACTAAACTTGTTTCAGATGTTTGGGCTGGGTTCTCTGGACTGATGATATCCTGGTATCAAACATCCCATAGAATTGTTTCTTACTGCAAGCCAAAGGAAAAGATTTATCAAGTGAGTACCTTTTGACAGAGATTGTTTGATCATTAGATTTCAAAGAGCATGTGTGAACATTAGCATATTACATACTATGGTACAGCTGTAGTTGTTTGGTACTATTCTATTGGTAGAGCTATTGCAAGTTATTTTCAGTGTAGAAATTGGAGTATGCTTAAGTCAGTTAGTCACATGTAAGTGAATGATTGAATTAGGTTGTGGAAGGATTCATTACTTAAGTAAGAAATCCTCTCTTGCTGTATGTTAATATTCCTTTTCTACTTTCTTCATTGCTACGTGCTGATCAACGGTCATGAAAGGCAAATCGGGCAATACACTGCCGTCAATCAGAGGATGTAAAAATATCAAACGATTTCTTTGTTTGACGGCAGTCTAATATCCGATTTCCCTACTCGATCAGCGAGTATGTAGCAATGACAGCAGTACTGGGTAACCATTCAATGCTTTTTCTTTTCAACAGATGTATAATTTTRCTTCAACAAGAGTCAAAGACATTGGCAGTCATTGGAGAAAAAAGAAATGAACAATTTACCATGGACATAAGTGTAAATTTATCTAATAATGTATATAGTACACAAACTATTGGATCATTGACAGCCGTATTAAGTAAGATGACACATATTTTAACCTATACTGCTTTACCTGCAACAACGATACAAACATATCCCTAGTTTCCCTCCCCCTTGGGAAGAAAAAGGAGTAGGCTACTCTTACTATTGTGTTATAAATGAAAAACTGTAAACTATTTGTTATAATCTTGGTTTTATTGTTGCATTATCACCTGTACAAGAAGCAGCCATCACAAATGAGAAGTTATCGACTAGACAACAGATATAAGATATCATGGATTGAGTTATGAATAGATTGGCATGCATGGATTCCACGCAAAAAGCTTGTCTTATAGAATGAAGGTTTAAGCAATGTACTCAAGACCATGTTAGATGAAGGTAGTACCTTCATATCTCAATCTCACCTCTGCCTTGTCGTACTAAAACGTGGGTGAGCACAAAGAAAAGTTGAACATGATAGAGATGAGTAAAAATTTAACTCGCACGAAATGTGTCATAACTATAATGCTCTAACCAACAAGATGAACAATGAAAAACATTTTATAACAATGATAAACTGGGATTTAAAGACTTGTATTATTGCCATAATATAGAATAAAATTCCTAACTAAATTGAGAAATAGGAGGATTTTTTGTTGCAGCGGATGATAATTTTCCAGCTTGCATGCGCACTATAGTATTCTAAGAGTACCATGTTAGAGTTCAACTCTTGTTCATACTTTGAGTGTATACTTTGTAAAAAAAAATATATCCGTCGTATATAGAAACTGTGTTGAGAGAAGAAACGAAGATTAGAACAATAGTCGTTGAATCAGAACCATCGTTTGTCCATTTTTGGTGCGCAGATTTTCCATGTATGCGCAACTGGTTTCCCAAGTGACCAACAGTACCGTTCTACAAGATAATACCGACACATTACTTGAAGGCCGACAAAAAAGCCTTAAATATGCCGTAGAAATTGAATACCAAGTTAGAGACGAGTATGTCGACTTTTTTGTCTTTCTGGTAGTTTTTCAGGTCGGACATTTTCGCTTGGTAGTAAGGACCGTAACCGTGCAATCTCAACACGCGCTTCATACAGCTCTACCGTTTGATGAAGGTTGAGATCTTGAGCTGCTTTGCTATCTCGCTGTAAAAGCTGCAAATGAAAGAAAATAGCAGTTAGATTATTGTTATTATCGATTCAGTAATGAGTATTCCCATCTTCTTACCACTATTTGTCTATCCAGATCCACCTTTTCACATTTCAATCGCATATTTTCATTTGTCAGTGATTCCACTTGTTTGAGAAGGTTTTCTAGTAACAAAGGCACATTATCATTAATATCTGTACGTAAGTCAACAATGAAAAATCGGTGCAATATAAGCCAAAAACCCAGACTGTCAGGCGTAATGGCACATCATTGTCCCGTCCATGTTTGGTTCAGATAGATGTTATAGCAGATGCGCATCAGTTTATGAAGCACCTAACATGTCCCTTAGATAAAACTGGCTCGACTGAGTTTGGAGAGACAGTCCAAACCCGGTATACTAACACATCATATAATTAATGTAACCGTGTGAAGCAAGCAAGTGACATGGTCAACTGGGTATAGGCACTCACCACACTCTTGTTCTTTCGCATTCAAAGATCGCTGGTTCACATTTTCTCTACTACTGGACACTGAAGAATTTTGCTCTAGTACCTTGAAATAAATGAGAAAGTAGATTATGTGAAACTTACCACCCGACCAACGTCATCATCATCATCGCTATCATGCCACATCATCATCATTATCATCATCATCACACTACCACCATCATTATCATTATCATCACCATCATCATCATCACATCACCACCACCATTATCATYATTATTGGTTGTAGTGGTTATTATCACCATTAACAYCCCCACTATCATCATCATGAATATGAAGTGTACGAGTATGTTTATGTAGGAGGTACCTGTTGCAATCCCTCGGACTCTGGATCTGTAGGGTCAAATCTAAGGTCAGGAGGAACAGATCTTGGTCTTGTTGGATCGGGTGAGTGTTTCATATCTAACAGAGGTAACACAACTGCCGTCTTCTTGGAGGGATTATTACTTGGAGAAGTACGACAATTAAGTAGAGGATCTGAAATTCTCCTAGATTCGACTGGTGACCGATTACTGGGCGAATTGCGGTCGAGTTCTTCACGAGAACGCCGATAGCTTAGAAGAAAAGCGGTATTGTGTTCGGGAGCATTTGGATTTGAATCGGAAGAGAGCTGTTGTCGATGTATCTGTTGTGTTACTTGCTGTAACTGTCGAGGTAAGTACATTAATTCCTCTTCAAATTCTCCTGTGTAATCTCCAGCTCTTCTGTCACCATCCGCAACTCCGTACCTCTGACCATATTGATGTTGAGGCCGAATGACTTCAAGTGGTTCGGAAGATCTTCGTGAAGAATTCGGCGATTTATCGTAATCTATAATTTTTACAGGACTTAATACGGGTTCTGTTGTGGTAGAGGTATCTGAACTACTTGAATATCCACCAATATATCGAACACCATAATCTGAAGCAGGGATTCCAGCGACTGTCAGTGGTCTGTTTTCAGTTTTCGGAGAGCTAGCGTAAACCTGTCGGGAATCAATCGTGCTACCGGGAGAATCGTCGATAGAGAGAGACGTTCCATCTAAAACTGGTGAAGATTGTACTCGATGAAAGCCAAAGCTTTGATTATCCTTATTGTCTATAGATTTTGTCGTTGAAAAGGATCTTTTAAAACTATTATCTGTGCTCTCTGATGACGAGCTGCTCTGAGGACCCAGAAAAGACCGGGAGGGCTTGGGACTGCTTGTTATGAAGAACGTTGAAGACGTTCCTTGCGTTCCTTTGGCTGTTTGCTGTTGTATTCGGTTATATTCCAAAGATTCCATGCTTTTACTTCTTGGGTCTTCCCTATCAATAACAATAACTATAAATATCATCATATCCCCAATTAGTGCGAAAGCGCTGGAAAGACTAGACACTTAAATGAATATTTTTATTTTATTTTACTATTTATCAGATGGTTGTAACTGGTCCAAACTTTGTACGCTTGCGCACGGTAAAGACGATCTTAATGCGCCAAACTAAGTGAGAGAAAAACTAATAATCTTCATCGTTCGTGTAAGAGATTAAAAAATATGTTTTTTCCCAAAACCATACATTTATATTTCCCTGGCTGCACGTGAAGTGAAGCTATTACCAACCTTTTCCCGACTTTAGGACTTTTCTTTTTGGAAAGGAACGACTGTGAGGATTTTCTTCGTTCTTTCTGAAAGAAACAATGTTGAGAGTAGCGTGATTCAACTGCTAGCTACAACAGTCAAATTAAGAATCTTGTTTCTCCTTCCCGCAAACGGCAAATATGACCACGTTTGGTCTGCGCAGCATTGTCTTCGTGCTATATAATAGTCTTACCTTCCTATCGTCAAGTGATACATCTATATCATCTGTTGAAGACGTCGTCTCTTTCATTGATAACGACCTTGACACGGGACTTGAACGACCACGAATGGCTTTACGAATTGACGTGAATAATTTGCCTTTCTGGGTACCCTGTGTAAGACAGTAATAATATCTGTGTCAATCAGCCATCCCCAGTCCATTCCCAGGTCATCCGCAGGCTATCCCCAGGTCATCCCCAGGTCATTCCCAGGTCATCCCCAGGCTATTCCCAGGTCATTCCCAGGTCATTCCCAGGTCATCCCCAGGCTATTCCCAAGTCATCCCCAGGTCATTCCCAGACCATCCCCAGGTCATCCCCAGGTCATTTCCAGGTCATTTCCAGTTCATCCCCAGGTCATCCCCAGGTCATTCCCACGTCATCCCCACGTCATCCCCAGGTCATCCCCAGGTCATCCCCACGTCATCCCCAGGTCATCCCCAGGTCATCCCCAGGTCATCCCCACGTCATCCCCAGGTCATCCCCAGGTCATCCCCAGGTCATCCCCAGGTCATCCCCAGGTCATCCCCAGGTCATCCCCAGGTCATCCCCAGTCCTTTCCCAGGTATGATAGACATGGTACTTACACTAGTAGCATCATTCGTATTCCCCATGTCAAACATCAGTGCATTCTTTTCCATCAATTCGTCAAACAAAATCTTGAGCAGTGAAGTACGTGTGCGATCCTTGAGAAGATGTCACAGATTAGTATTAATTGATTACTATAATATTATTAATTAATAGCGTTACATATACTCACGGCCAATTTAGAAAATTCTGCACTTTTAAGGGCTGCCTGTTCTGCATTGATGAGTTTAGTAAGAAGAAACTTGCGGAATTCAGGACCCTACAAACGAACAAGTATAAGATGAATATTAACAACACATCAACCAATAATCTTCTAATCTAAACCGTCTTTGTTATGCGAGGGTAGCACTCTATTGCCAATGGCCAACACTGAAACCTGTGGTCCTTGTTCCATCATCGAATTTAGAAGTTGATTTTTGCGAAAGGGGGAAAAACGGAGAACCAGGAGAAAAACGCTCGAAACACAGGAGAGAACCAACTAGAAATTCTACTCACATTTGACAACGAGTACGAGAATATTATGAAATAGTAAACCATCATCTAACCTTTTTGAATACTGCAGGATTGGGTAACTTAGGTCCAAAAGGTGGGACATCTTCTCTTGCTGTAACTGATACCTGGAAGGGTAATAATGATAGGTACGGTCATAACAACAGTGACTACTAGTCCTACACATGAGTGTTTATCTGACCTTGTATCTTGTGTTCGGAGTATTTGGCTCTTCGACTTGCACCACGATGAAAACATGAAGGAAATGAGAACGAATGGACATTGGCGAGAAGGGAGTGTTTTCATCCTAAACAAACAAACAAAAAGACAAACCTTGATTTCCTGTTTGTGAATTAACCTGCATTTCTACGAGTTGCTTGAGTGTTTAGTGAAAATACGTACTTGGAAAACAATAGAGACGATATCGTTACCAATGTGACGTTTTCTTTGAACCTTTTGAATAAAGGTATAAAAAGATGGTTAAATTTAAAGGTCGATGATATAACGCGCGTCATGAATTGTACAATAATATGATCCAAACTCGATGGATTCTGACGCGCGCATTTGTCATAAAGGAATATAGTCACTCCAATAATATTTAATAACAATAGACAAACAAAAGAGTTTATCATTATATTGATGTAAGCCAATCCCACCTGTTGAGAATCGCCATTACTGAATGGAAGTAACGTCGATACATGAAACATGATTTCTCTGCAAGGAAAACGAGAAACTTAAATACATCCCATCATCAGCCATCAAACCATTCCCGCGATATGATATCTCCTATACATACTTTCCATTAAACACTGTGTGCACCGAAGTCTCTCCTGTTTGACCGTGTTTGACGTCAAGTCCCCCGTGAAACCTAAAGGATGTAAAATAACACAATTAGTACAAAAGAAAAACCTTATGTGGCGCAATATGATTGGTTAGCAGCTCCTACCCCTTAAAATCTTTTAGACATATTCTAGCCCCTAGTAAATCAAGAAATTCATCCATTGCAGTACTGTGTGTCTTGTTGTTGAGGTATTGTTCTTCCGTGATCTGTAAAGAAGAGAAAAATAGCATGTTTTATATCAGGGTATTTTTAGTGGGACCTTTTATCATATTAACCCATCAATACCTGACCAAACTGTTGGTAAATTGCTCCGAACTTGGATGCTGGCGATAAACTGTGTTCGTCATATTTCACGATCATCTCTGAAGCCTGTTTAACAACAACAGCCACAGTTAATTAGTATCTCACTGAATAGCGACTATTTTCACTAGGTAGGAATTGGTCATGGTTTGTGGGGGTTAGGGTTATGACACATTCACTTCGTTTTTCTGTATACTTGTGTAGTTCCACCAGCCCATCCCTTTACCAATAGTAAAACTCAGCTCGATTCCAAAACGCCTAACTTGACTTTGGGACGGTTAACCATGTTCATGCATTTGTCTTCTCGGCATGCGCAACCGTTAAATCAAGAAATGGTACCCTAGGGAATGATGCGTGGTCTGAAGTGGATAATCATTGCACTAAACGAATAAGGTCTATCGTTTTTATTAAGCTGCATGCATGAACGTGTGACTTACCTTAGGATGTGCTATTGCTTGGAATTGATCAAGGTTTTCTGCTTCTTCACCCAACAAATACTAAAAACAGACATGATAATGCATCAAATATTATCAAGTAATAATATAATATCAAATCAGCTTCATGATTAAACATTATTTGACCACTTGGACGTTACCTTGACAATCTGTCTTGGAGATGGATTATCAGACAGGTTTTCTAGAGGAAGCAAGTCAACTGTTGTTTTCTCGCTTGTTCTGAAAAACAAACAACAAGGAACATGTTGCGATGGTCCATAGACAACAAGGAACATGTTGCGATGGTCCATAGACAACAAGGAACATGTTGCGATGGTTCATAGACAACAAGGAACATGTTGCGATGGTCCATAGACAGCAAGGAACATGTTGAGATGGTTCATAGACAGTAAGGAACATGTTGAGATGGTCCATAGACAACAAGGAACATGTTGAGATGGTCCATAGACAGCAAGGAACATGTTGAGATGGTCCATAGACAGCAAGGAACATGTTGTGATGTTCCATAGACAACAAGGAACATGATGTGATGATCCATAGACAACAAGGAACATGTGGTGATGGCCCATAGACAACAAGGAACATGTTAAGATGGTCCATAGACAACAAGGAACATGTTGAGATGGTCCATGGACAACAAGGAACATGCT